CAAACAATTGTCTCCTCATTCCCACCAAACCTCACTCTTCCCTGGGCTTCCAGGGTAATTCCAGCCACTTCATTTGATTCCAACTGTGCTGCGGTAAGGAAGGCAGTGGGGCAGGGGTGACAGTCTCCTTGGCAGGAGACTGGGCCAGAAAAGAGGAGTGACTAGCTCCAGGGGATGTGAGGCAAGTTAGCCACGGCAGTGGGGACAGTACTCAGGGCTCCTGATCACCCAATCACTGCATGGTCGGCCTGAACTCAGAGCCTCTCAGAGACACCGTCTCCTCCCAACCTCTGCTGGGTGTGTCACTGGTTTGAAGAGAAGCTGGGTGGGAAGTGTCTATGCACAAACAAGTCAAGAGACTGCCTTCCTGCTGCCCCTGCCACGGACTTGCTGTGTGGCCTCAAGCAAGTCCCATCTCTCTGAGCCTCTGTGTGACGATGGCCCAAGTCACCGGAGCCATCCTGTGACTGTGGAGCTGGCGCCTGAATCACTTCCGCCCCCCACCCCCCGGGGCTTCCAGAGTCTGCAAACAAAGTGTAAGAAGGCTTGAGAGAGAGCTAGTGACTGTGTTGTTGTTGAGTCAATTCTGAATAATGGTGACCGTATAGGTTAGAGCAGAACGGCCCCATAGGGTTTCCAATCTTCACAGGATGGCAACTTAGTTTCACATACTTTGGACATGTATTAGGAGGGACCAGTCCCTGGAGAGGGAGCTCTGGTGGCACAGTGGGAGCTCTGGTGGCGTAGTGCCTAAGGCACTTGCCTGCTAACCAGAAGGCTGGCGGTTCAAACCCACCAGCCACTCCTCAGAAGGAAGGTTGGGCAATCTACTTCTGTAGTGATAGCGCCTTGGAAACCCAAGGAGGGGTCACTATGAGGTGGATCCAACTGAATGGCAGTGGGTTTTGGGTTAGTCCCTGGAGAAGGACATGATGCTTGGTAAAGCAGTTGTTGCTGTTGTTGTTAGGTGCTGGTGAGTGGTCTCTGACTCACAGCGACTTCATGTACAACAGAACGAACACCGCCCAGTCCTATGCCAGCCTCATGATCTTTGCTATACCTGCGCCCATCGTTGCAGCCACTTTGTCTATCTATTTCATTAAGGGCCTTTTCCCCTTGGTTAACCAGATGGTCAAAAAAAAAAAAAAAGAGGAAGACTTTCAATGAGATGAACTGACACAGTGGCTGCAACAATGAGCTCAAATGTGGCAACGGTTGTGAGGATGGTGCAGGACCAAGCTGCGTTTCGTTCTGTCGTACATAGGGTCGTCGTGAGTCAATGGCATCTAACAACGAAAACAATCTTTATTGCCAGGTCTTTTTCCCTACAGAGCCATGGGTGGGTTCAAACGTCTGACTTTCAGTTAGTAGCCAAGCAATATTGATTGTAACACAAGTCTTCATTTCTCAACTGCTTTCTACTGCTCTGGTCGCATAGTGGATAAGGCACTTGACTGCTAACCAGAAGGTCAGCAGTTCAAACCCACCAGCCACTCCACGGAAGGAAGACCAGGGAATCTATTTCCATAACGATTTACAGCCTCGGTTACCCAATGGGGGTCGCTGTGAGTTGGAATCAGCTCGATGGCAGTGAGTTTGGTTTGGTTTTTCCCACTGCTGGGCTTTATGTAGCTTTGCCATTGAATGCAGTCCTCACTGCAACCCCAGAGCCAGGTGCTACCATTACCCCCATTTTATAGATAAGGGAACTGAGGCTCAGGAAAGTGAGCTGAAGGACTGAGCCAGGACTGTAGGCCATGGTGACCTGACCTTGTTCTTTCACTGTAGCCTGCTCTGAGAAGCTTCTGGAAGTCTGCTTTAGAAATGCAGGCTCTTCCCTGGAAGGTCTGTGGCCTTTGAGCCTCCCCCCCCAGAACTGCCCCTCAACAGGTACTACGGGAAGCGGGGAGGCTGGACCAGTGGGATGCCCAGTCCCCCGGCCCTTCTACAGCCACTGCCTCCTCCTGGGCCCACAAGCAGACACTGCAGCCCGGCTGGAGCCTGTGAACAGACGCGGGTTTATTATTACACAGACGGCAGCATCTTAAACCCTCTCTCCAAACACCAGCCCCCAAGTAGGCCGGAGCTCAGGCTTCCCAAGGCTCGCCCCAAGCATCAGACCAAACCCCAAAGCTGGATGTGGTCTCAGAGCCCAGACCTGGGCCACAGCCCTGTCAGCCCTGAGCAGGCCCCCACCCCCCCTCCCTCCCCAGGAACTGAGCCTGGAGTGGCGGGCTGAGGATGGAGAGGCTGTAGGCTCCTCTCAGCAGAAACGGAGTCAAGAATTGCAACCGCCCCTCGGGGCCCAGCAGTGCCAGAAGCAGTCAGTGTGAAGCCGGAGGAATACAGAGGGGCAAAGGGAGGCTGACCCATCAGAAGCAATCTTCCAGTCGCAGAGCTGCCCTGGGAGGCCGGCCACAAGGCCAAAAGCCCCAAGGTCCAGAGCCGCAGAGGCAGGAAGCAGTAGCCCCTCCAACTCTGCTTGGAGGCCGGGCCACGTTCTTCCCCGGGCTCCCTGGGGCCCAGCAGCCCTTCCCTCTCTCCTCAAGGCGGAGGGCACAACCCCTCTCTTCCCCATCCCCCGCGAGCACAAGGATCCAGAGACCCAGTGTGGCACAAAACAGCTTCAAGTGAGGGACATGCAAGTATAGTCTTTGGCCAAGCAAGCAATGGGACACCCCAAGCACCCAGTGGGAGCCCCAGACCCTTGCTGGGAAATGCTACTTGACAGGCAGCCTGTCCCCAGCACCCGCCTGGGAGTGTGCCCCTGGGACATCTGCCTGGGCTGTTCCCTGAGCCCATGGGGGGCCCTGGTGGGAAGCAAACAAGCCAGTCAGGGCATTATCACAGCAGCTGGACTCCACCAGCCTCAGGGAGACCCCTCCCTCCCACTCGCACGCCTGGCCACCTGGTCAGTGGCTTCCCAACCAAGGCTCCAGGTGTTCAGGTCTCCCCCACTTCCATTGGTCCAGATGGGAAGCAACGTGGACTGCGGAGAGAGACAGAAGCACAACTGAGCTTGTCCACTGCTTTGCTGTCATTCAGGGCATGTGTAACCACGGGCATGTGGGCGCAGGATCAACACCGCAAAAAGCAGGGCCTCGGCGCAGGCCTGAGGGTGTCCCCCTCGTGGCCACAAGGGATCACATCACTCCCTCTGCTTTCCCGGGAGGCCTCGGCCTACCAGCCAGAGGTTAAAGAAAGGGGGGCGTAGCAGGAAGGGGGTGGGATTTAACATTCATCTCTTGATTCAGTGACTTCTCCCAAAACACACAAAAGCCCAGAGAGGGACAAAGTTGTAGATGGGAATCAAGGACAGGAGCAGGTAAGGAAGCTCAAAGGATCAGGCCTCATTCTCTCAGGGCCTTCTCTGTGATGGGGTGGAGAGCTTCCGGAAGGTTCCAGCACATTCTATTCCTCTTGGCACCGTCCACCACCCAGCACTGGCGCAACGGAAGGCCTCCTTAAACGTCTGGTGTGGCCAGGTCCAGAGTCCAGTCCTCCTTGGCCACCCTGCCTGGCGCTGCAGAAAGAGAGGTCCTGGTGTCCTCAGCAGGAACTCCTGGCTCTGCAGAGACAGCAGGAGGGTCAGGCGAGGGAAGGAGGGCAAACCAAGTTGAACCCCAGCCAGGCACAGACTGCAAGCATTGGGACTGATCTTCTCTAGGGACAAGATCTCATCTCCTCAGGCCCCCAGACAGCCTTGCCCCTTGGCTCTGAGGCTCCATGGGATCAGAGACTAGGCCCTGAGCCACCGCTCCATTTTCCTTGGGGACGCCGGCTCTGGTTCTCTGCACATGCTGTCTCTTACATCCTCCTCTTCCTCCTCCCCCACTGCCTGCTGGTTCAGTTCTCATCCTTCAGGTCCTGCAGGCAGCTTTCTCAGATCCCCTCCCAAACACAGACCCTGCAGAGCTCAGCGTTCATGCCCAGAGCAGCACCTACTAGGCTAATATTGTCACTGACCATTTATGTGGGTGGGAGAAAGATGTGCTGGTCTGCTCTTGTCAAGATTACAGCCTTAGAAATGCTATGGGGCAGTTCTACTCTGTCCCACCAGGTCACCGTGAGTCGGAATCAACCTGATGGCACCCAACATTTCCATGGGTGACAGGACAGGGAAGGAACCCTCTGGGGCCTGGGTGGGGGTGGGACAGTCCACACTGAGCTGGGATTGTAGGAGGGGTCTTTGGTGTGGAGGAGGAAAGAGACAGAAACTGTCAGCATGACCCAGCACAGGATTAAGGCTATAAAGGCAGGTCCTAGCAGCAGAAAGGTCTTCTCTGCCTTGTAGATACTTCACCCTGAGACAAGAGAGGGCCACTTCCCTTCAGCCCAGCCCACCTTTTCTCACAAGGCTGCAGCCAGTCCCCCAGCTCCATTATGGGAGAACAGGAGATGGAACCAATGACTAGCAGCAGGGTTCCAGGATGAGGGGACGGAGGGACAGAGTGGGGTCTAGGGGCAGAGGGGCTAATGACTGAGGTGGGGTGAGAAAGAAAGGCTGGGCAGAAAGAAGAGCACCCCAGGAGGACACGTCTAGACCCCTGGGGGTTGTGAGGAGGGAGCCAAGAGTCAGGTTTGAACTACAAAACTTTTACACAATGAGCTATATACTCAGGGGCTCCTCTCATGGTGGTCAGTCCAGTTTCTGAAAGCAGGAGTGAATATCTGCTATTTCCCCAGCTCCCAGCAGAGCAGCTGTCCAGTAAATGTGGTCGGATGAATGAATGAGTGAATTAATGAATAAGTCAGTGAGTGAAGGCCCAGTGAGCCAAGGCCTGACAGAGCAGGTGCTCTGCAAATGCTGAGCTAATGAGAGGGGTGCTGGAGGGGAGGGGGGTTGATCAGTCAAATCCCAACTCCTGGGCCAGTGTTTCTGTGGGGTGTGTACCTCAGTAAGTCCTGGATGGATGCCCAGTAACCAAAAGGCCCTCTGCCCATCACCCTGGTGCCAGTTCTCCCAGCAGGCTCCCACCACACCCCACCCTGAGCCGCACCTGGCAGACGAGGGTCAAGTCAGGAGGTGAACAAACAGGATGGCCAGGCCGATGTTCAGCAGAATCACCATGCAGATGAGGACAGTGTTGGGGACCTGGGAGTGGTGGAGAGAGGCTACGTGAGGTCCCCAGGCCTCTGAGGCACCCTCATCGCCCCCCAACCCCAGGTCACAAGGCTGGACTCAGAGGAACAGGAGCTGGACAGACCCTCCTGAGGGCATCCTCCATCTGTTCACTGCTGTATCCCCAGCCCCTAGACCACACACCATCAGAGCGGCAAGAGTTCTTGGGAATAATGAACCCATTGCCTCTGGGTCTAGTGAGGGGCAGGAACACAGGCCCCGATGTCCTGCCTTCCCTCCTGCTAATTCCTCTTGAAATCTCTCAGAGCCTAGCTTCATCCTTCCCGCTCCTGGTCCCAGCTCCCAGCCTGCTTGAGCAAGCCCTGAGGTCCACACCCCCAGGCCTGCTGGACCTCCAGGAAGCCCTACCTGCTACAACTGGTAGCAGTCGCTGCTGCTACTCCCCCAGACACTGCCCTGGCCCCGGCCCCAGCCCTCGCAGGTGCATCTATCCCCAGCCTCTGCTGGCTCACCGCCACCCCCTTCTCCAGAAAACTGCTCTCTTCTGATGGGATGCCTAGGACAGCCCCTGCCTCAAAGCAGGGATGACTCTTAAGTTTGACCTAATGCCCCTGACTCCCTGTGGGTCAGGTCACAGCTCCTGAAAACGAAGCGCCCATCTCTGCTGGGGTCCGTCCCCTGCCCTATCCTGCTTCCGTCATCTCTCTGGAGGTGGAAGGGGGACTCGACCTTCGCACCCCCTCTCTGCCGCCAACCTCACCTCTTCCACCTCGACCTCGGCCTCCGCCGCCATCGCTGCCTCCTTCCGAGCCTTCTTTTTGGCCTTTGTCAGCCCTCGGGCCTCCGTCTTGCGGGCCTTGGCCTTGGACTCGGCCTTGGGGACGATGGGCTTGGGCTCCAGCTTGGCAGGCGACGGGGGCTCGGGGCCCCGGGGCGCAGGGGCCTGCGTGGGGGCGGTGACCGGGGACGAGGGCGCCGAGTCGGACCGGGGGGACTCGGGCTCCTCCTCTTCCTCGAAGGGCGGCGGCTGCGGCGGCGCGGTGCGCACGGCGTAGCTGTGGTAGCCTTGATAGAGCGCCACCTCGGGCTCGTGCGACGGCGCGGGCGGCGCCTGCAGCGCCTCGATAGCCATGCGCTCGGGGCCCGGGCGCGCTGGACTGTGGCGGCCCGCGCCCTCGGACGGCGTCACCGGCAGCCCGGCCTCGCCTCCCGGCTCGCCGTTCCAGGCGCCCGGGCCCAGCAGGCCGTCCTTGGTGGCCCCCGGCCTGGGCCGCTTGGGCTGCGGAGGCGTCCCGCCTGGCGACGGGGGACCGCCCTCGGGCTGCGGGGTCTCGCGCTCATGCAGCTGCGGGCTCTCGCGGGGCGGCCCCAGGAGCCCCGTGGCGCCGGGACCCCGGTCGGGGGGCTCCAGCAGGCTTTCTGAGTTCTCCAGGATCTCCTGAAGCAGCCGGCGCTTCTGATACTCGGGGCCTGCGGAGGGGAGAACACAGGGAGGCTGGATTCGAACCCGGTGCCCCCTATGGGTGATCTCGGGGAAGCCACATCTTCGCTGAGTGTCATTTATTCACTCGACCAGCACTCACACAAACACTGTTCTATGCAATTCCAAATATTAACTCATCTTTTTAATAATCGGTAAGGAGCCACAGTGGCCCAATGGCTAAGTCCTCGGTTGCTTACCGAAAGGTCAGTGGTTCCAACCAGCCTCTCCCGGGAGAAAAAGGTGTGAGGATCTGCTCACCGGCCAGTTGGCTTCAGTAAAGATTACAGCCCAGAAAACCCTATCAGCGCTTCTACTCTACCACATGGGGTCGCATAACAAAAACAACAAAATGAGGCTGCTGCTATTGTTAACCTCCACTGTACAGATGAAGAAACTGAGGTTCTGCAGGTTAAGTCGTTTGACCAAAGTCACACTGCTGACCTCGCTCCAGCGTTTATGCTCTTAACCCCAGCACTGGTTCTTTCCATTCTCTTATCTGTAAAACAGACCTGACAATGTCTGTTTCATAAATACCATGGAAGGATGGAATGAGAGAACCCAAGTAAAAGTGCCTGGCACAAACATCCTTACAACTGTTGCTATGACCTGCAAAGCCCAGCCAGCCATGGTCATTCTTTCTCGGACCAGCAGGGGGAGCACTGTGATGGGACGTGACTGTAAATCCCATTCAACCTCCCAGGCAACATGTGCGCTCAATGGTCTTTCATCTATTTATTGCTCTCGTCTCTCTTTGCTGCAGCCAGAACATGTTTAGAAAGCACAAATCAAATCACGTCGCTCACCTTAAAAACGCTTCCACGCAGAGAACACCCATCTCCCACCCCTAGGAACTCCCGACGGCTCCACCCAAGTGCAGTATCTCTACCTGAGCTGGAGGGACTCCGCAGCCTCACTACCACTGTCAGCTACAATCTAGCTTCCCTGCAAGGCGTGATGTTCCCACTATCTGTGCCTTTCTAGCTCCAGTCCTTGCCTCTGGATTCCTCCATCCTCCTCAGCACTACCTGTTGCAGCAGCTCTCAAAGGATGGGCCCCAGGCTAGTGGGCAGCATCAGTATCACTTGAGAACGTGTTAGAAGTGCAAACTCTTGGGCTCCACCCCACATCTACTCAATCGACACTTCTGAGGTGGGACCAGTGATTGCGGAGTTTGAGATCCGCGGACCTGGTGAACTCCTGTTCAGCCTGCAAGATTCAGCTCCAATGGCTTCTCCCGGGGACAGCCTTCTCTAACACCTCCCCTGGCTTGACTGGTTCCATCCCCCTAGGAGCCCCTAAAGCCTGTGTTCTAATCATGCAGCACTCATCATGCAGTGTGCAATTTAATCATAATCATGAAACATCGGCCAAGTTACTGGGCGCTGACTACGCAATGTGCTGGCACCTGACATGCATTTGATCTCCATCAAAAATGCAGGCACCACTTTACAGACCAGGAAAGTGAGGCTTCCAGAGGTTCAATAACTTGCCCAAGGTCCCAGCACTGTCAACAGTGCAGTCAGGATTTGAATTCACACTGAGTCTGTATGCCTCACCCCCTGCTACTTTGTCTTCATGACTCTCTGTTCCTCTAGATTCTGGATCCTAGCTGTGTATGCCTCAGGGCCAAGCACAGTGCCTGACATGTGGCAATACTCAATCAATGCTTGATTGCAACCATTGAGTAACTGCAGGAAGCCTTCTGTCCTCTCATCACCCAAAGACTCTTTCTTGCTGTAAGCCTCACCTACTCCAACTGTTTTCCCTGCTCTGAGCAGAGAAGACAGTCTGCATGGGGTCAGTCCACAGTTGGGAGCCTCTGATCTGCCCATAACCATCTCAGCAATGTAAGAGCATGGATGTAGCTTCCCTACAGCCCTCTTTCATCATACCATCCCATGTGTGCACCATGCCCCACAGTTTCTAAAGCTCACAAACATCTATGAACCCACTTGGGCATCTCAGGTTTGCAGCAAGCGAAGGAAAGTGTCCCTCCATCCCAGGGGCTTCCCCCTTCTCTGCCCTACCTGGCTGGTAGAAGTCTGGAGCCAGCTCCCTGGCCAATGTGCGGGCGATGTTGGACTCTTGGTTAGCGGCCAGGGCAGCCTGTTCTGCTGCTTCAGCTTTGGCCTTGGCGTGACTTGTCCTAAGGAGACAACATGGCGGGGGACTCAGGATCCCTCCAGAGAATCACCCCTCTGCCCCTCCTCCCCAGCCCACAAAGAGGACACCTTGAATAGAACATTCATTCACTCAGGTTGTCAATGAACATTTATTGAGCATTGTGGCCCACACTGCTGCTCATTCCCCACATCCCTTCCTCTTCATTCTGCACACACAGACAGACTACATTTCCCAGCTTCCTTTGCAGTTAAGTGTAGTCAGGGGACTGAGTTAGGCCAATGCAATGTGGGCAGACCTGTGTATGTTATTTCCAGGCCTAATCCATAACAACCTCCCCTGTAATCCTCCATGCCCTCCCCCTCCCCCACTGCTGGTTGAATGCAGAGGAGGCCAAGGCCTTAGAACAAGGTTCTGAACCGTTTTTGTTTCATAGACAGATTCCTTTGGCAGTCTAGTGAAGCTATGGGCCACTTCTCAGAATAATGTTTTCAAATGTATACAATAAGTAGGACAACAAAGGAATATAATTATACACACTTTCATCAAAATATTTCAAAGAAAAAAAATTAATGAAATAATGTATGTCCTTTATCAAACAAAAAATCTAGCAGGTCTATTAACTAGCATAATTTTATTGATGAACATAAAGGATACTTCAAGGACATGAGCAACACCAGTAATGTGACACAAAATATATGTGATCTTTATTGGTGACAAAGTCACAGACATTGCTGATAGTATTACGAGGTACTGCCTATTTCCATAACAGAAAACAATGCTAAATTTCATTTAGAGAGCAGTAAAAATAAAAGTACTGTTTTACCCATCTGCAGTAGACACTTAGAGGAGCTCTGGTGGTGTACTGGTTAAGGCATTTGGCTGCTAACCAAAAGGTTGGTGGTTCCAGCCCTCCAGCCGCTCCACAGAAGAAAGATGAGGCAGTCTGCTTCTGTAAAGATTTACAGCCTTGGAAACCCGGTGGAGGTCGATGAGTTGGAACTGACTCAGTGGCAGTGAGTTTGGTTGGGAGTACACACCGAAGGCGGCAGTGGTGGTTCAGTGGTAGAATGTCCGCCTTCCATGCGGGAGAGCGGGGTTCGATTCCCAGCCAATGCACCTTATGCACAGCTACTGCCCACTTGTCAGTGGGGGCTTGGGTGTTGCCATGATGCTGAACAGGTTTCAGCAGAGCTTCCAGACCGAGACAGACCAGAAAGAAAGCCCTAGTGATCTACCTTCAAAAAGCAGCCAGTGAAAACCCTATGGGTGACAATGGTCCAATCTGTGAACGATCCTAGGGATGGTGCAGGATCAGGTAGCATTTGGACCCATTGTGTATGGGGTCACTGTAAGTGCATGGGGTCACCACCGTTAAGTGCAGCGGGGCCACTGTAAGTTGGGGGCCAACTTGGCAGCAGCTAACAGCAAGAATAGACACTTGGTCACTTTGGTGCTCTGCCTAGATCTCTTCACTGGGCTATTCCCAGCTGCTGGGAGTGTTGGCTGCTATTAGCTCACCGCCGCCCTAGAGAACTGCAGCAATGCAAGCCACCTTGTCCCAGAGGTTAAAACACCCACCTACCCACTCACTCTCACCCAGGCACCACAACCAGTGCTGACTGACACTGGAGTACGAAAGGCTAGCCCTTTTGCCCCAAGGGGAACCAATTCTCTGATGTAATTCCTGCTCCCAATCTCCTGTGGATCAGGCTGAAGCTAGACTCCAGCTGAGTGAGACCTTATCCTGGTTTAGTTCCTTCTCTGTCCTGTCCTGATTCTTTCCCTCTCCTCTCCAGAGAGGTGAAGAATTAACTTTACTCAAAGAATTTGGCCTTTGTTCTTGGTTCTTGGGGAAACAGATAACCTCTAAACCTTGGAATTTCCCTAGGGGTGTCTTTGTTATGCATGAAGGCTCCAGACCACACCTGAGAGTTTATGTTCATGAGCTGACTCAGAATGGAGGCTGGCCATTCCAGAAAGACCCACCTGGGGGGGGAAGGATTGGGGGGAGCTGAAGATTGAGTTCAATCATATGGACAGTGAGTCAACCTATCTATGTGCTGAAACCCCAATAAAACTTCTGTGGAGCTTCTTGGTTGGTGATAGACATAGACACAGGAGGAGAACAGCAAGTCCCTGGGAACATGGAAATTCTGGGTTTAGGACTCTTCCAGACCTCACCCTATGTGTCTCTTCTTTTGTATTATTTTTGCTATAAAAAATTATATTTATAAATTTTCCTGAGTTCTGTGAATTATTCTAGGGAATTATCCATCCTGAGCGAGCAGTGGAAGCTCTCAAATTTGTAGTCAGCAGGTCAGAAGTTTTACAGTCATATAATATGGTCTTCCATATTAAATGGCACAAGGATGTTATCCTAACAGTGAGAGGCTGTACTTGAGGATCTTGAAATGTTCTTTCTGATGATGAACACAATGCTGTTCTTCTTCAGTTTGTCGTTCCCAGCAGAATAGACCATATAATTGTCTCATTAAAAAATGGCCAATACCAGTCCATTCCAACTCATTAATGCCTAGGATACTGATCTTCAGCATTGCATTTTATTTTTGATGACTTCCAATTTTCCTTGATTCATACTTTGTACATTCCACGCTCCAGTTACTAATGGCTGTTTGCAGCTGTTTTGTCTCACTCTGAGTCATGCACATCAGCAAGAGAAGGTCCTGAAAGCTTTATTCATTGAGGTCAACTCTACATTGAGGAGGCAGCTCTTCCTTAGTGTACCTTCCAACCTGAGGGGCTCATCCTCTAGCAATGTATCAGACAAAGTTCCACAGCTATCAGTAAGGTTTTCACTAGTTTTTTTTTTTTTTTTTTTTTCCCTCCCAGAAGTAGATTGCTAGGTCCTTCCTCCTCGTCTGTCTTAGTCTGAAAGCTCCACTGAAACTTTTCCACCATGAGTGACCCTGATGGTATTTGAAATACCAATGGCACAGCTTCCAGTATCACATCAACACGCAAGCCACCACAGTGTGATGGAATGAGAAACTAGACTATATGAAGAATTAGGCATCACAAATAGAAGGAGACTCATTAAAAACCTGCAACACACAGATGACACAATCCTGCTTGCTGCAAGTGAAGACGTGAAGCACTTACTGATGAAAATAAAAAATCCTCACAACTGGACCAATAAGCAACATCATGATAAATGGAGAAAAGACTCAAGCTGTCAAGGATTTCATTTTAGTTAAATACAAAATCAATACCCCTGGAAGCAGCAGTCAAGAAATCAAATGATGAATTGCAATGGGCAGATCCGTTGCAAAAATGTTAAAAAGCAAAGATGTCACTTTGAAGACTAAGGTGTGCCTGACTCAAATAACAGTCTTTTCAGTCACCTCATACGTGTGCAAAAGCTGTGCAATGAAAAGAGAAGACTGAAGAAGAACTGACACATCTGAATTATGGTGTTGGTGAAGAATATTGAATATACCTCAAATCTGTCTTGGAAGAAACACAGCCAGAATGCTTCTTACAAGCAAGGACGGTGAGACTTTGTGTCACTTACTTTGAACACGTTATCAGAAAGGGCCAATCCCTAGAAAAAGATATCATGCTTGATAAGTAGAGGGTCAGCAAGAAAGAAGAGGGCCTTCAAGGAGATGGACTGACACAGTGGCTGCAACAATGGGCTCAAACATACCTACTGCTGTAAGGATGGCACGAGACCAGGCAGTGTTTCCTTCTGTCATACATGGGGTCGCTATGAGCTGGAATGGACTCAATGGCACCCAACACTAACAACAGGTCAGAAGTATGGGCATCCTGGGGACTCCTGAGCTTGTGACTAGCATCATGAATAGGGTGCATATACCCCCAAATTTGTAGCCAGTTGGTCAGAAGTGCAGGTGGCCTGAGAGTACCTGAACTTGTGTTATGGATGGTGTCTGGCAGTTTGGAGGACTGTGCCCTTAGCGTATAAAGTTTGGTCCTAACTCTGTTAGGGTGAGGAGAACTGATATGTAACTCCCTCAGTAAATCACACGCATTAAGAATTCCCATCTCGGACCAGGTTTGCTGGTGCGATGAGCCTGGTGGAACCACTGAGACTATGGCCCCTAGCTGCCCTTCAGGTCTGGGATTGAACCCACACCTGTGGCTTCCAGCCAAACAAAAGACAGGCATATGAGTTGAACATGTACCTGAGGTAGATACATTCCTTGGAGAGAACAATCATGGGAGAAAGAAGGGGTTTATGCACAGAGAGACAGCTCAGGGGGCAGGAGTGCATGGAGGGATGGACACAGTAGTAGTGGGAGGGGAGTTGTTGCACTGAGGTAAATTGTAGTCAATATCATGAGACAACGTGTGTGTGAACTGCTGTATGGAAAGTGAATTTGCTCTGTAAACTTTCACCCAAATCACAGTAAAAAAAAATAATAAATAATTCCCATCTCTTAAGGAAGAAGTACAACTATCCCTATTTGCTGACAATATGATCCTATACATAGAAAACCCAAGAGATTCAGAAAAAAAAAAAAAAAAAATACTGGAACTAATTGAGATACTTAGCATCATGGCAGGATATAAGATCAACATCCAAAAATCAGTTGGATTCCGGAGGCGGGGCAAGATGGCGGACTAGGCAGAAGGATTGCACAGACCCTCTTCAAC